TTTGGGAGGAGGCCTAGAGTATCCTCCACCACCATATGGCTGCTGTCTGTTCCAAGATGACCTGCCCCTACCAAATCCCGACTCTCCTCCTTGAAGAGCCCACTCTCTTGGACCACCAGACCTTTCCCCTGCATACCTCCGCTGGCTATCCCACACTGCATTCCCAGTGAAAGGGGCGCCTCGATTCATATGTGAATTTCCCCATGCAGCTCCCATGCTGCTGTTAAAACCAACATTTGCATATCCCTGAACTGGTCCACCCCATATCGGGTTTCCAGGTGCTGCCCCACGGCCACTGGTCATACCTTCCAACCCTGTATTCCGACCCATAGCAGAAAATGCAGTAGTTTGACTAATGGTACAAGGCATATTGGACCCAGCGTCTCCCTGGGAAAACAAAACATCAGCGGACTTGGTTTCTCCTTCACTACTCGTAGATGAATTTCCACCAGACCTCCTTAATGGATCAAATGCATCAGCTCGAGATGCCCCAACTGTTTCATCCGTCACAGTAGATTGACAAGGTAATTGTAGATCTCCGGTGGAGCTCAAGGCATCACTTCTTACAGGATCGTGGGTAGGACTCAGCTCCTCAATCGGGCTAAAACAGTCATTTCTGCAACCAGGTATCATCTCCTCACCGCACCTCATGGCAGAAGTAGGGGAACCCATATTATTTTGATTTTGAGACTCCATGGCGTCAACTTCAGCCAACAGGTCTGACACTGATTCCTCAGCCAAAGTGCTGAACTCTATAGGCTCGCCAAAAAAGTTTGACACTGTATGAGATGGGGAAGTATGATTAAGTTGGCCGGCATTTGAAGTAGGCGTTGCAACATGATCACCCACTGCTTCAGCTGGTTTTGCTGAGGAAACGGAGACAAGACCAGAATCCCATTCTTCAGTAGATGGTTTTGCAGTAAGTTGGTCCGCATTTGAAGTAGGTGAGGCAACATGATTACCTACTGCTTCAGCCGGTTTCAGTGACGAAGAAGAAACGATACCAGAATCCCATTCTTCAGTAGATGGTTTTGCAGTAAGTTGGTCCGCATTTGAAGTAGGTGAGGCAACATGATTACCTACTGCTTCAGCCGGTTTCAGTGAGGAAGCAGAGACGCTAGCAGACACGATACCAGAATCCCATTCTTCAGTAGATGGTTTTGCAGCTGGTGAACTTCTACCACATCCATCAGCTATTTCGCGAAGTTGGACTCCACCAACCACTGGACTAGAGGCACTGCTCCACTTATGGCCTGATTCCTGAACAGGAAGACTTGACGGAACAGATTCTTTATTTTCAGCTGCATGCCCACCTTGAGTTTCACGGTCTGAAATAGGGGTCGGACTTGGCAAATCATGATTATCTGAACCACAAACAGGAATAACAGAACTCAACAAAAGCAGTTTCTCAGCGGCCTGAGCTTCAAGTTCACCATAGCTTGTCTCTGGAGTAGGACTAGGTAAGTTTGGAAGACTCATGTTTCCTTTCTGTTCAAATGAATCACTTGATTTGGTAGCTGAAGCAAATCTAGATCCAGAATCCAGGTTAATTGTATATCTATTACTGGTAAAGGATCCCGGGTTCTGCCCCAAAGACGAGCCTAAATTCCGGCTGTTAGACTGTGTATTATGACCACAGCCATCATTTATCTGGCACATTGCGCTTCCACGTGAATTCTGAGTTCCATGATCTGTAGCAGGACGACAATTATCATTTGCATTTCCTCTTTCCTGACGTGGAAGAGCTAAAATCACCTCCCGCTGACTAGATGAAGGGACAGGGCTCGGCAATTGGGGTTTGTCAGAACAAGAACTATTTCCCTTCAATGAATCCAAGCATTGTGGAAAAGAAGGGGATAACCCATTCATCCTCGTAAACTCTGTGTTACCGTTTGAATGATAATTTGCTTTGTGGGGGTGCCCAGGTGCCTCTCTTTTTCCACATTCTCCCCCTGAGCCAGTAGCAGTCTCAGACCACCTAACACTAGCTCTACTATCCGAGGCAACTGGTTCCCATGACTGGCTTGATGTCTTACCATGCACTTGAGGTTCTTTATGGAAAAGCCCCTTTAACGCATTCGTTAAAAGTATCGAGTCATCATGCTCATGATTTGTCCATATCCTCATTTCAGGAGGAAAAAGCCCTGATGTATTCCATTTCCTCAACTGCATAACGGAAAATGGTCCTTGTATTCTACCAGCAGGGTCTCGGTAATGCCACAGTTTGTCAGTTTCAATACTGTTAGCGGATGATGAGTTCACCGGAGAGAGACTAGCAATTGAAGTTTCAGATCCAGACCTATCGACAGCCTGTTCAGCAGTAAGTCGATTTCCTAGCTTGTCCAAGATATTAGATCCACAAGCTTCTCTTTTCTCACTCATTCTACATCGAGCCATGACAGATCCCTCTTCTTTAGCTGGATAAACACAAGAAAACCCTTTAGTTAGCTGACGCTAAACCAACTTTTGAAGGACTTCATAGTACAATCTTCATCTTACCTAGACTTCCTGAAGACATAAGTTTTTCATCCCTTCTACTAATTCTAGTGCATCTTGGTGCCAGATATTCAACTGCATTATATTCCATCAGCAATAAGCAACCATTTTATTTCTTCCTCACCCCCCATCCCCCACCCCCCATCCCACAAATAAAAAGAGAAAAAAGTTTAGCAACACCCACAGAGTTACTGGAAACAAAAAGATATAAACCTTTTCTCTTGTAATTGGATCCTCCATCATCTCCTTCGGATTCATAATCTGGGTCCATCATTGGATCAGCATGCACTTCTGGAATTTCCAGTAGCCTCCGCTGGCGCTCCTCAGGTGTCTTCAGAAGCTCTAACTTCTCTATACATTCTCTGAGCGTAGAATTGTCAAGGAAGTCATCATGCTCAAGGTCAATGTTCTCCAGTTAATGAATACACAAAATGAAAAATTTATAAATATCAAATGGTGCCTCAGCTTTTTCAGTTGAGGCATCAAATCTGATTTTGGCATGTTAAGAACTATTAATGTAAATTGCTTCGACAAAGGATATTCTTTCTTGTGCCCCTTCTCACTTGCTCTATCACGAAGATGATTGAGGCGCAATATCTCTGCTTCCAGGGACTGTATTTTAAAATAAATAAGCACAAGCACATCAAAAGCACCATATTTATAACAATCTTTAATGCAAAAACGTAACAGTTCCGCGATAGCAGCTAACAATTTGTAATGTTCTGAGGAAGAGCAGCATATACTTATGGAGTTCACACTATAATGCATGATCAGTTACCATCTCATCGCAGTTAATCTCTCTACATTTTCCTTTTTTCCTTTTTGGTGTGGTACCTTCTTGAAACCTTCGACTCAAAGGTCATGAACAAAATAAAGGGCACTAAACAAAAGGGACCTCTTGACAGATAACTAATTTTTATATTTACTTTTTATATTCCAATTTACTTTATTCTGTATGTTTGAATTTCTACGCAGGACGTATATTCACCTCCAATGCCAAGAACAGTATGAAATGTTACAATTGTATTACACTTTTTCCTTGATATATCCTTTTCTTTTATTTGGTCAACCCCATCCCTCACCCCTCATTTAGAGCCAACAGTGTTTTCCAACATTTTCCCTTAGGTGACTTGAATTTCCTACTCTTGGTTGGAAATGGAATGCTCTTACCACTAGAAGATCGCTTTTGTCAAATTTGTTCGTATAACATATTTGCATCAAGTTATGCCTATTTTACATATTCTATATTATTATTATATTAAATGTATATATCTACCAATATCTAACATGATTACTACTCAAACTTCTCTTATAAATTTGCTGATCAAAGGTCGAGGACTAGAAAGGGAAGAATATCTATAAGCTCAAAGAAAAGGTGTCTTACAATTAATTTAAATAATCCTCCAATTGAGAGTGCATCAAGTCATCAGTAACCTGCCTTTCTGCAAGACTCTTTGTTCTACTGAGTTCAGAATAACAAAGATAACTGGTACCCTCAGATTCAGACTACTATATCTACTTTATGAAGAACAAGCCATCCATTCCACAAGAAGAAAAGCACGGTGGTTTTTTGCAGCAGATGCAGAAGAGGTAGTACCAATTTATATTAACCAGCAGAGAATGTGCTTGCCAATTCTAAGAAAGATATGATTCAAAATGTTATATTAGTTCTCTATCCTTTCATATATTCTCGCAGCATAAGTCTCACAGGCACCTCTCATGAATTTTATAATAAGGGGATCTTTGCCATAATGAGATACTAATGAACAGGGTGAAAATAGAACAGGACCTAGAAATACAGAACTGTTGAAAGATAGAGTCAGGTCATACAAGTTTTAAGGAAAGATTAGTAAATTAGCTTCAGGAGATGAGAAGCCAAAATCACTATTAAGAGAAATGAACAGCAAAGCAATTGACATACATCATTGAGTTTTACTGCCCGGAGTTCCATAGCTTTCTTCTGTATCTCACCCTGCATTAAAGGGTCATTTAAATTAGAAAATTTTCGTTTACCATAGCAAAAATTTTAATACTCAGGTTTGAACACTTACTACAGTAAGCCGTTTCACAAGCCCACATTTTATACTCTGACGCAGTCTTCTGCATTCATCCTGAAATGACAAAATTAAGCAATCACATAAGGCCCACAAAATCATGCTGAAACAACTGGAAACCTAGACCCTTGAAAAGGTGAAACTTTCTGTGTAAAGGGCTGCCAGAACTAGAAGTGGAAACTTTTTTATGATAGAATAGCAATTTCTGTACAATTTATGTAAAATGTGAAATAAGCTTTACCCATGATGCACCTGAATTTCATCGTCGGCAGCTGACAAAATAAACTCGGCTTGCCACTCATAGCAATGTTACAGAAGACAAAAGGAAAGAAACAAAATATAAAACGTAACAAGAAAAAAACAGATTTCCTTCATATAGGCCACTTCAGCACAAAATTCAAGTCTAATAAGAAATCTCTAGACCTTCCAAAGCAAAAAACAAGGGTGCTGATTCATTCATGGGGCAATCTTTGGTCAAGCCACTCTCCTCAGAGATGCGTGCAATATTTATTACATAAAGAATCTCATGACCCCATGCTGATTGACTAGATTCACCATCGAGCAAGAAAAGCTGGCAGACCATTCCCAGGTTGTAGAACAGCAGAAGATAAGAAAGACAGCATATATGGCGCATGTCGTACCAAAAACCACCAAAATGGCACCATATCATGGCATGTGTCAATGTCAGACAGACCGCTTGCAATGGTAAGTGATAACAAGAGGCTGATTGGTATTCCATCAATACAACCATCTCGAACTAGCTCATCCCCTCAATGCAACCAAATTTAGCTTTTTACATCCACGATACATGTATCAGTACCAGACAGACAGCTTGAATGGGTAAGAAGGGTAAAAGGTGATACCAAGAGGCTGATTGGTCTAAAAATACACCCACCTCCAACCCAGCCCTCTTCCCTCGATGCAACTAACAAACCCACTTAATTTTTCGAATTCACATCTAATACTTGTTGGGTAAATTTTGAAGTGATTTATTTATGAAAGCTGCATCTGAAAAAACTCTCTCTCAACTCACAATCATACGCCGAATACCTAGGACCAGATGGAACGTACTCAACGCTGCTCATGATCCCCTTACAATTCCATCCTCAAGTTCCCAGTATTACGATCTCATCTCAAATCTGAGTGCATCCTATATTCACGTTAAATGGACTAATTCACAAAAATTATACTTGCTACATGCAAAACTGCCCGGGCCTGTGTGAGCTAAATGTTCCTTCAGTCTTAGCTTACATGGTATATATTTCATCTATAGGATGCCAATACAGCTGTTGTTTGTGCTACATTACTTAAAGTAAAAAGTACTAGCACGGCCTAAAGTGAAAATGAGCAGCCCAAGAAAAACACTACAAAAGATTGAGCTACAATACAGAACAATAAAGATGAATATCACCTTATCTCCTGCAATATGTACTGGTAAGCAAGATGTCTTTAACAATGCCATAGTAAGAGGAAGCAATTCACAAATAGATGAACAAGGAAACGTGTTGTATCTTAATTACCTCACAGAAATCTTGATTTGAAATAGAATCAATGGATAAGGCTTCTTTCTTGTCTAAGTTCAATACTTCAAGTAATACATCAACTGTCTTGTCTCTAATCTTATATGGTTCAGATGACTTACTTGTACCTGCATTAAAGGAACTATAAGCTCCATAAACTAGAACATGATTATATTACATACTGTGGTTAAAAAGCTTCATGATCAATTTGTACCTACAACATGGACAAGCCTGTAGATTTCCTGCTTCTGATCGTTGCCAGGTATTCTTATGCGGACAACTGACCCAATAACTCTGTCATGGAACTTTTCCACATCTTCAGCAAGAGTTTCCATCAAATCACGCCTCAAATATATGAAGTTTATATTGTGAGCATCAATTGCAGCATATTCATCCAGATTAATCTGGGTCATTTTTACTTCACCATTTTTACGAGTTCTACGTTTTTTAGATGAAGGAATATCATTACTATCATCAGGTTCCACGTGGCTAGTCATTGTTCCAACAATTCCAGCTGGTATAAAAGCACTCTTCTTTGACTCCTCCTTTATCAAAAAGTGAAACTCGAGAAGCTTCAGCATTTCTATGTGGCCAACGCGTGGCTTTCCGAAAAGGCTTTTGAGCCTCAAATCACAAATTATTTGGCTCTTCCTTCGAGGATCTCGAAGATTATTTCTCTTAATATAGTCGAGCAAAAGTGCCTGGACATCAAACTGAGATATAGCACAGGTATCACCATCCTTCATATGTGCAACAAAATCCAAAAGCTCCTTTGACGCCCACTCCATGCATCCGTTCAGTGATGTCTCCGCAACAGTGCTTTCCCGTTTTGACCTCAAACAATCTTCATTCTGAACCTTTAGCTCTTGAACAGGCTTGGTTAGCTCTAACAGAGGAGTAGAACTGAGAATGCTCGTGTTACCAGAGTCTGAAACTGCTCGGATTTCAGCGGTTGGAGGATCCTTTTTAGATAGTTCTAACGGTTCTATGGGTTTCTTCTGCTCTATATAGTCAAATGACTTGCCTGCAATACTTTTGCCATCATTTGCAACATAATGACCACAAGGCATTAGCTGCCGCTTACCATGAACTGCATCTGATTCTTTCCATGGATTTTTAGCTTGAAGAAGTTCATCCAGTGTTAATGATAGTTTTTCCTTTAGGATTACCCAATACACCTTAAAGAGATATTCCCAGCTGCTTTTGTCATCAAAATCTACCTGAACCTGAATGGTTTTTAGGTAAATCAAATGAAGTATAATGAACAGTCAAAACTTAGCCCAAGATTACTTTATGGAGATAAAAGAAAAGATAAGTACACAATAATAGAATTAAACATGACAATCTCATGCAAAAACTATCTGTAATCTGGAAAGACATCATAAGATCAGTGCTCGAAGAACAAATTGTTTATTCACAGTTAAACTGGTAAGCATCCTCTTCTATCTTTCTATAGATCCTTCTTGCTTTGGCTTACCAAAGATATATTTGACTTAGCACCTTCTAGGTTTATCTCTATAACAAAAGATAGAACTGATAACAAGACTGTCATGATCCTCCATTTCCACAAATAAACGCATTAATCATTCTTGAGAGAATGTATCTTACTCAAAGTAAACAATCAGGAATCTTATCATAGAGAAAATGACAAGATATGATAATCACTTGCAAAATTAAGCATCCCTATTGAGATCTTACAGTACATTGGACATACCATTTCCTTATTTGCTTGGTCTTTGTTCTCAATAAGCATGATAGTTCTCATGCACGTCGAGCAAAAACCCTTGTTTCCCCGAACACACAAGTAATCAGCATTTTTTGTACATGCCTTGCACAATGAATATGTACAAGTATAGCACAGGTAGTGGGAAGCTTTTTGGCACACACTACAAATATGCCAACCTGAAAACAGAAGTAATATAAGGGTGCTGTATCATTCTGGGCCATTGATGTTGATCACATGCTTCATGTAGAAAATACAACAAGATCTCTGTAGTTCAAATAAAAGAAAAAGTACTAAGTGAAAAATAAAAGCAAAAATATTAAGCACTAGCAGACTCTGATACTTTGATAAGTTCTAGTTGAAATTTTCAGAAACTTTTTTTGCTGTTCCAACCCTGCCGTGGATATAAAATTCCCTGATATCCCAAACCTCCTCAACTGTCCTCGAGTGTATCAACTATGACATATGAAGACAAATTTTTAAATGAATACTTACACCACTTGCAGCATCATTCAGGCAGTACATTAATCAATACCAAAAACTGATTTTTAACAGCAAAGTTCCTAAGCAACATAATAATGAGTTTTTTCCAAGAGGCTCCCAACTTAGTTACATTTCCATACTACTTTTCGTGATGTTCTATTCTATTCCAATTGCCTAAGCCCCCCCTTATAATAGAACAATCACACCCTTTCTTCTCTCAGTTCTCTGTAGGACACGGACTACCCCCAAAGAAATAGATTTTTAAGATGCTCTTGATGAAATATGTGCAATGCAGGAAGAAAGGGAAAAAAGAGAGGGAGAGAGAGAAGGTTATTAGCAATTATATGGGCTTGTTTGCTAATATAGGAATACACACACATAGTGTGAAAGATTGCCCGTAAGAACCCTAGGCAGTTTGTGGAAGTAGCAATCTAGGACTTCATATTTATCTCAAGAAAGGACAGTGAAAAAGAAAAGCATCTAGAGACATTTCTGTTCTTCAGGCAGGATATCAATGAGCAGAAGAAACATAACATAATGATGGGGCAGCGTGTATTACATGTCCCCGTCAAAATTCTCAATATGCAGCAACAATATTACGTTTGAAGTTTGCAGCTGAAACCTCTTCTAGTCACAAAATTGTAATGCACAACATTCAAGACTTGTTCTAGAAGTATCAGTTAAGGCATGTCATTACATTTATTTCTATAATGTAACAGCATGAATTATGCCATGCAACCCATACGCCTTAATGCACGATGCTCAATAATCCAAAATTTTCTCCATCTAAAATAGAATGTCATTTACTAGTTCTCTCTTAGCATGCAACAAAATAATTTCCAAATCTATATTAAACCATCAAGAGAATAAATAAATACAGTATAAACAACCCTAGCAACCAAAGAACTATATGAGCTGAACAGATTCTTCATGTGCGTAAATAAGTAAGAGAACACATACCGCAGTTCCATTTTGCCTTGGAGCGAAAAAATGCCTCATCCCGCTTAATACAAGCTGGATGATATGCCTTCGGACACCCCCTAACCATTAAAGAAACAACTTGTAACACAATTATGCTTTTCAAAGAAAGATTACCATTAATGTGAAGCACTACTAATTCTTTCAGTACTTTTAGCTCAAATTGAAGTAAATTTCACATCCAAAAAGCATAAGAACACTTCAAAATGGAAACTAGAGAGTGAAAAACGAGCTTCGCTTACTTGCGATCGCAAAGTACAAGAGAACCACCATCGAAACATATGAAGCAAACATCTTCGTCCTCTTCTCGCGGTTTCTTTGGCGGCGGAGGTTTTGCCACCGTCGTGTGGTTACGAGGTGGCCGCCCTCGCTTCCGCTTCTCGACGCCGTCGCCGATCACGTTTGCAACTGAAGTCCTGCCATCTACAGCTACCGTAGTCGGAGAACCTACGGTGACCGCCGCCGGAACTCCGACCAGGTGAAAATCGCCCATATACTGCACGGAACTATACTGTTCCGAACCTTGTAACCCCATGGATGTTACGGTACTTCCATCGAAACTTAGACTATGTGCTTGTTGTACACATGGTCGGTACAACTCCGAGCTGGAATTACCACCATCCATGGAGAATTTTTGAGCTCCGAAAGAATCGTATTCAAAACCCTAGACTACCGAATTGCGTAGCGAATCGAGAAAATGGAGGAGGTGATCATTGACTTAAGCGACGTCGTTTGAACAGACGAAGAAAATTCTGAGACGAAATGAGAAAGATTAGGAATTGAAAGAGACGGTGGTGAAACACGATTGGTTGAGGCCAAGTGTGCGTGTAAATTGAAAATGTATATGTGAGAGAGAGAAAGTAGAGAGAGATAGAGAGGAGTAGTGTTACTCTCCTGTTAACCTTTCGGCGAAACAAAGACTCTTTATCAATAAACACATGGGAAGCGTCAAACGCGGCTCATTTGGGTTTGTTTTTCTACTACTACCCTTGTTTTGGGTCTTTTTGTATGACTGCATTCTTTGTTTCCACTGTCTTACCAACACGTGACTTGGTTTCCAACTAGGAGTAGTACTTTATTTTTATTTTTTGGTCAATTTTGTGCTTTTCTTTTTTTTCATTTGGAGGTCTTTCATTCTTTGCTTTTTGGTAGTGGGAGTAACAGTCAGATTACGATGGGGTTGGGTTTTTAGTTTAAGTTTTGGTTGGGTCAGCAAGTTTAGTCAGTCAGCCGGCACAAGTACTGCCTAATGCCTATACTCCCATCATCTTAACAAGCCCTTTTCACTACAAGCATCTTTCATCACTTTTTATATACTGTATAGCTTTGCAGTATGACCGTAATATTTTTCTATTTTGAAAAAGCCTACCTTTTACAGAAGACAGCTGCGACCTTACACTTTGCATCCGTGTTTGACAACAACCGATTTTTGCATTTATTATGCCTTTTGATTTCTGGTATTTCTTGACTTCACTGATATGGAAATTTTCCTCTTGCTTGTGTTGGTTTACGCCACTTTAGTGTTGAACTCAAATTCTTATAAGTCTATTTCTTATACCGCTCTTAATAAATTATTATTAACTCCACCTTCAAAATAAATTATCTTATAAGTCATTATGTTTTTGTATAACTGTCAAACATAACATTACACTGTAAATTATGGGGTTAGTAAAATTAAAGAAATCTTTAGCGAAAACAGCATCACAATATTTAGTATTTACTAAAGTGACTTGCGTAGTATTATTTTAATTTGATACATGACGGAGAGGGATTTACAAAAATGGCTAAAAATGTATAAATAAATGTTTTATTTGTCTATCTAGGTATTAATATGAGTATCTCACTCTTTAGCAACTCTGAGTTATGAATTATGTGTGAAGATTCCAATAATTGAATTAGATATCTGTTCTTGTTGCGTCCCTAAGTGGAAAGGCACTTTTGTCTCTGCTTTATTTATGAGCTACCATTGGTGTACCAATAATAACATCCGTCCAATTAGGGAAAAGCAATTGTAAATCTAGTAGGAGCACTTGTGATACGTGTAGTTATATAAATTTTATTGGAATTAAATTCGTAAAATAATGGGGACTATATTTTTAATTCGAGATATATTAGTTCAAATAAATTTATTGGGCTAATATAATTGGATTAATTATAAGTCCAATATATATGAATTAAATAAATAAGTTTTAATCAATTACGCTAGTCCATTTAGTTGGGCTACAAATGATAGGCCCACTTTATTAGGCTCAATATGCCATCTTCCTAGAGGCTCAGTATGGTGCCACATGTCAAATGATGTGGCACGCCAAGTCAAACAGAAGAGCCAATAGGATTGTGCCATGTGTCAAATTGACAAGGCATGCCAAGTCAAATTAAAAGGCCAATGAAATCACACCACGTGTGCAAGTGACATGTTCTGACCAATCAAATGGGGCTTTGTCACTCTTCAATATGATTGGTCGGAAAGAGTTTGTTCTCATCATAATCCTTCCCTTCCACAACTATAATTAGGGTCTTCATAACCCAGAAAACACATTAGAAATTATAACAAGATTCAAGAGAGATCTCGTGGATCAAACGCCGTAAATTTCTCTACAAGTTTCAAGCTTCAAGCAATCAAGTTCAAGTTCAAGAAATCAAGTTCAAACTCAAGAACGAAGAACAAATCAAAATTCAAGGATTACGAGTTCAAATCAAAGTTCGTGCTAGTTGAATTCAAAATCATCGTTCGTGGTAACAAACATAGATTCAAGATCAAGCTCAAAGACCCTTGAATTTATTTACTATTAAAAAGAAAAATCAGATGATTTATAGAGATTGTACACTCATATTACTTGAAATCAAATACTACGATTGTTGCAATATTTTTCGATCTTGATTTTATTTTCTCGACGCAATTTATTGTCTACAATATGATCGCTTATTTATTTTATTACCAGTGTAGAAATCTTTTTGAATATAAATTTAATGATCCCTTTTTTTGTTTATGACAATTGATCCTATTTACGTAGTTAATGAAACCCAGATAGTGATTATGGAATGGATACAGAGAAATACGGTTTAGGTGAGAGAAATATATTGAAGTATTTAATTTCCATATTTTTCACGTCCTTAACCGAGATAATTAAGGTATGGGAACTTGGGAAGTAGTATATTATCTAACTAAAAAATAAATTTTTTTAATAAATTGCATTTGTGTAAATTTCCTAAAGTAGTTGTAAATATTTTAATTTACCTTTTAAAATTTTGTATCCTATGTAAAGTTCCTCAATTTTGTATCTATACTTTGTTTGTTTGTTTTGATCCTCAATTGGGAGAGGCACAAACCCAAAAATTGCACCTCCATATACTGCGGTATGAAGTGGATAACTCCAAATAAATAGAACCACCGCTACGAAGGAAAGAGAGAGAAAAATCACACCTCTCTCCAATCTCTAACCAAACACCACTGACATGGCCACATCACCACCCCCGGCGGAGGACCCATCCTCTAAATTCCCTCCGGAACCACCGGAACCCCCTATAAAAGCCTCCCAAAGTGATATGGATGAGGACACCCCTAAAAAAATCTTTTAAAGAGATCCTACTGGAAAAGAATCTGATATACACCACTTCATACGAACTAAATCACTCCCCTCCTCTGTTTGAACTGAATGCGGGAAATATCCCCATCATTTTATCTAAGGAGGACAAGAAAAGGTTATACCTCCCCTAGAGATACTCCCTAATAATAAAACTATTTGGGAGGAAAATTTCCCATCGGCTGTTGCGAACAAAGATCGCACATCTTTGGAAGGCGAAGGTATAATCGTGAACGCGATGAAGCAGGAGACAAACCTTCGCGAACGCGAAAGAAGCAGAAATCAAACCTTTGCGAACGCGAAGTATTGTTCGGGAACGCGAAGAAGAAACTGGGCGGAAAAACTGGCAGTTCTGGAATTTTACGATTTTGACCCCAAACCATTTAATACACGACCTAACTCATTTATCTGGGAATCATATCATATCTTGAAAGATCTTTGGCTTATTTTGAGTCCATATACTAGAGAGAACAAGCCTTGGAAGCTAGGGTTCTTGCACACACACTTGGGTCTTGAAAATTTGAAGCTTTTGGTTGAGAATTTCTTACTCCTTTATGCTCATTTCTTCATTTTCTTGCTTTGTATTGTATATCTAAATGTGTAGTATTTATTTTCAACAATTGAATCTTGTTTATGGAAATATTCATATTTAAAGTGTGGATTAAATACCTTGTTGTGCTTATGTATTGAACGATTTTTATTTATTATGAAGCGAGTTGTTGTTTCTTTAATTATTCTTGTTCTTAAATGTTTCCAAAGGGATTAGCTAACCCTAGGACTCGCCCATTCACTTCGGATTAATTTTGGAAAAAGTAATTCGGGATTGAGAAAGATTAATTAACAAGAACTTGAGGCATTAACCCTCACTTTATAGATTCTACCTAGGGATAGGAATGAACTACTTGTAGCCATATTCGTGTGCTTAATCTCTTAATTGTTTTAGGGATAATTCAATTAGGAAGTCTTGTTAGTCTTCGAGAGAAGCTAATATAGAATTATTATCTGAGGCTAATAAATAATAAACTCCTTCATATTTATAAAATTGCGAAATATATTGGATCGTTACTTGAGTGTAAATCCCGATGCACCCATGCTTGTAGCCATTGATCATTTTACTTGCTTTCTAGGTTAGTTTACGTTTTCGCATTTAGCTATAATATTTTCTCAACTACCATTCTAAGTGTTTGACATTGCATAATAAGTGATAATTCTCTTACATTCCTAATCGCCTATATATTATTCTCTGTGGGATTCGACCCTGACTCATAGTTGGGTAAATTATATTGCATGCGACCGTGTCCATTTACTTTTTAGTAGTGGATTTGGACGTCATCAGCCACTTCCTCTCTATACAGAAATGGGAACCAAACTTTGTCCCAGCAGAATCCAAACTTGCTATTACAACAATTTGGATCAGACTCTCACAACTACCAACGGAGTTCTATGACATGGTGATTCTCGAGCAAGTGGGCAATAAGGTGGGCAAACTACTGAAAATAGATACATGTACCTCCTCCACCCTTAGGGGGAGGTACGCTAGGATCTGTTTCCAGGTTCCATTAGACATCTCTGTCACCACCGATGTCACCATCGAAACCCACAACCAACCCATACTATATGAGGGGGAAGGGATTCTCTGCAAGGGATATGGGAGAATTGACCATACGCTACGCTACTGTCCATTCACCCCCAAGGTCAATGAAACTAATAGCCCAACTAATCCAAACCCTTCAACAACACCTACAGGTACAACTCATGCTGAAGATTCTTTATGGCAAACGGTCCCATTCAAGCGGAACAAAAAAGGAACCCATAAAGGAAATCACCTGCCAATACCAGTCGGAGCATCATCGGAGCAAACATCGATCCAGGTAAAGCTGTCCAATGAAGCTACAGGTACGTTTCTCGACCTTACTGCCACAACCAGTGGCGGCGGCAGCCCTAACGCACACGAGCATCTGAACTTAAGTGAACACTTAAGCCCTATGGGGTAGGCTACGAAGATCCAACAAGACTTGAAGTCTTTAAGACCCAACTCCGATCAAGGCCTGTCACGACCCAAAATCCTAATCTGTCGTGATGGCATCTATCTTGATACTAGGCAAGCCGGCAACCTCAATAAACCACAATTTCTTTTAAGTTTGAAAATATAATATTTAAATACAATCCACAAGTCTTACAAAAACCGATACACATACTCCCAAAATCTGGTGTCACTGAATACATAAGCATCTATACATTACAAGTCTGGAAAACGTGGTCTATAATAATATGAGACCAAATACAATAAACAAAAGGATATGGAAGGAGAGACAAGGTCTGAGAAACATGGCAGCTACCTTTGAATCTCCGAAAAATTGACTGT